TAATAGCAACAATAATTGTAGCACAATTGCGCCTTTATTGTGATAATGTAGTAAAAATATTTATTAGTGGTTTACACTGAACAAAAATGATTGAGCAGTACGATAAAGGATGAGGATGCCCGGCAGCTTAATAAGTATTAGCGAAAATGTGCGGCGGGAACTGAAGGGTCCTCGACGAGGAAAGAATCCACCAAAACGTCTAAGATGGTGGGCTGAAGACCATGATGACGTGCCGTAAGTTGAAAAACTACGAAGAGTAGACAAAATAGATTATGCGCGCTTAGTGCCGTTTCTTGACAGAAGCCCGGAGTTTCGAGATTTTACAGAGTGTTCGAAAACGCCTTGTTGTCCCTGGGCGATCAGGTGTGGATAACATTAAGAGTATCCTAAGAAAAGCTGTGTTAATCACATATTACGAAAGAATACATGCAAAATAGTGTTGGTTCTACAACCGACAATGAAGAGAATAGCAGCATCTTGCACAAAAAAGACGCATAAAAAATTGTTTTAACATTTTGCATAAAATATGTTAACTTAGAATTATTGCTATTTGGCGGCAATAATAACGATAATGAACAATCACTTAGTTACTGCTGAAGAGCTGACGTTGAGTTCCAACTGAAGGTAGCAGCACGAAAATGAAGGACCTCGAACAGCAGTGCCCGGAGTTTGAGGGCATTTTCTAGAACCATGGATTCCATAGCTACAGTTAAGGTGTAATTGGTTTTTCTGATAATAAACGTACAAAGTGTTTTATAGTTTATGCAGCTTGTCCTCTTTTACACTCCTGCGCTTAAATTCTGCTTAAGGCACGCCCAGTTTCGTGTACGCGCAAGTGAAAGTGTAGTTTGGGAGGCTGTTGGTATATAATTAATTTTACTTTGTTTGTATAAAAATATTTTCTTACAGCCATTAATCGCTGACAAAAATATCACCACAAGGATCAATCAAGGCAAAATTTATCACTTTTTCAAGCGTTTTTGTTACATTTATGAAAATTTGCCTCCTCCACATTTGCATACTTTCCTAAAACTATAAAATGCGGTGGTACTCGCTGACAGAACCAGTCCTTGATTTCATTGAAACTGCTGCACCAGCATGCCAAAAAACGCTTCGCCGGGTTCAAACGTAACTAATTTGGGCAGTTTCGGGTCCGAAACCGGGTCGAATGCAGGTACTGGAAGCATTCCAAGTGTTACACCGTCAGCAACGTCGCCATCGCAGAAAGCAACACGTCGCCAGCACGACCTATTGTCACCCTCATTCGGCGACATTTCTCCGATTTCACCCGTACGCGCGCTTATGCAATCGGTGAAGCTTATGAGCTCACCGACTATTGCGGTAAAACAGCTTCATTACAAAAACAATTACAAAATTTTTTGTTCCCCTGCTAATGCGTCGCTGATTTTTCTCTTTTTTTAACTATTTCTTTCAACATTTCCTCGGGCATTTAATTGTGAGCCTTCAGGCGATGCAGCTGTGTGGTTTACTTAGATTATATCTGACTTTTGCTTTTAATTTGCTTGGGTTTGATTCCATTATCTCCTACGTTGCATGTTTTTGGATACTACCCTAACTGCTGCCCGGAGGCCTTTTGAAAATAAATGGCAACGCGCACCAGACTAGCCGGTGCGATCATGCGTTTTGTGCAATTCATCCCATC